TCCCGTGCATGGCAGAATTACATTCTTCTTCTCCTCCCCCTCCTCCTTCTACCTGTTCTTCTCCCCCTCCTCATTATTATTATTGTATGCATTTTTGTATACATGTTCGAGCTCGTGTGTGTGTGTGGCCATGCATGTGGAGGCCAGAAGTCAGTGTCAGGTGTTTTCCACAACCATCTCCACCTCAGTCATCAATCTGCACTCTAATAACTGATTGATTCATTAACTGTTTTAGGTAGGGTCTCTCAATGAGCCTGGAGATCAACAGTTCAACTAGACTGTCTGGCAAGGAGCTGCAGCGATTCTCTTTTCTCTTGCCCCCTGTTCTAGGGTCACTGGCACACACCATTGTGTCTGACTCTTGTGTGGGTGCTGAGGATCAAAACCTAGGTTTGGGATAGCTCACCGAGCCACTGATCCTGCTCTTAATGCATAGCTTACTGTCTCACACTGTCGTCATATTACCATGTAACTAGGTTAAGATAATTATCACAAGGTACAGATGATGTTATTTACATGTATGAGCACATGTCTGTCCTGATCAGGCTCTCTGGCTTCAAATCTGGGCTTCTACATTGAGTAGCTGCCTTTTGTCTGATCTTTCTAGGCCACAGTGTCCTTATTCTAGAGTGGACGTGTTGTGTCTTTTGAAGAGCTATAATAAAAATGCAAGGCAGCAACTTGTGTAAACCACCTATGCTAGCACCTGGCACATGGCAGGTGCTTAGAGAACGTTAGTTCCTGGTGTCTTCCAGGATGTCACAGAGAGAGGAGGTCAGGGACTCCAGAACTCAGATCTGCTCCAAAGCCCGCATTTTAATCACAAACACCTTTTCCTTCCTCAGCTTACAAATTTCATGAAGCTATCTTTGACACACTCCACATTCTCTCTTGGTCTGTTTGCATCTGTGTAACACATGATGGCACATAAGTGATATATGACTGCTCTTGGCCCTGATTATATGTAGTACAAGGAGTTGGGAAGAGGAGGCTTGGCCTTCTTGGTTCTGATTCAGTCCTTTTTCTAGATCCCCTCTGCAGTTACAAAAGGCTTGATGGGGAATGTCCATCAGAAATAGAAAGGCCTCCGCTAAGTACTTGTGGTTACAAGGATCCCTGCTGCCCTGTGGGGCTGCCAGCATCCCTGATGCCCTGTCCGCCCTCTGATGATGTCACAGTAAGCTTCTAATGCACAGTCTTTAGTTTTTGCCAGCTCTCTTCCCTACAAATCATGTTACCTTCATAGGTCATTGTGTTCCCAGAGCCTCACTTTCCTCATCTGAGAAATGGGGATAATAATAATGCATACCCATAAGAAATGAGGGGAAGATAACTATGCAAATTATGCAGTGGTATCTTCCCTATAATATTCCATTTCCTTCTATACATGAGTCATTTCAAATTGATAAGCTCTTATCCATCTTTTGGTTCCCAGCCAAAATATCCTCTTACCACAAATCCCTCTCAGACATCAAGTGTCAGACAGAAGTGTCTGATGCCTCTATGTCATATTGTGCTTGCTCCCACCACGACTGTGAATGATACTCTGAGCAGTCACCAACTGCTTGAGTGTTAAGTAATATCCCTTAAGGCTTGGTGCTAAAAGGGATTAGCTATTATGTTGTAGTGATCCTGAAGGTGTCAGGGGAGGGATAACTGGCTGACTGGGGCTGGGATGAGGTGGCAAAGCAGCCTATTTACCAATCTGTGTGCAATCATTTGACAGTTTTAACAAGCATAGGCGGGACGGGTGCCCATAACCATGATCTTGCTCTAAATGACTGCTGGTTCCTCAAGGTGCTCAGTGGCCAACCTTTAACCAAACAGGATCCAGTTCAGAATCAAAGCTTTCATTTGCATAACCACATATGCAAAGCACCTCCTTTGATGTCATGCACCTACTCTTGACTGTTTTCAAAAGAGCTCTGTGTATGGAACATTGGGACATGGGGCACAGGAGGCTCAGTGCTCAGGTCTCCTTTTTATCTGTAATATCTGTGTCTTGTCTTAGGATCCCATCTCAAATCTTACTCTCAATCTTCAGTTTTCATTTTCATTGCCTAAATCCTGCTCATATTTAGTTTTCTGGGTCTTCATCCCATTCTCTACCTGGCCCAATCCTAATGCCCTTTCCTGTCAGCCAGCTTTCTGTTCACCTCATTGTCCGTTGTCACACATGACCTTTTCCTGTTGTCACCTCACCTGTCTTTTTCCCTCTTAGCAGGCACAGATTTTCTTCCCTGTTCATCAGCTGTCCAGAGCAAAATCTAAGCCTAATCCTGTTTAGATGCTCAATAGATATGGGTAGACTTGAAGGAATATTTAATAAGTGATTCAGTGGAAATGGCTCTGCTAGACTACCTAGTGGAGAAGAAGCTTGTGGGTGGTGCTCTTGGGAAATCTGTGATGTACCTGGAATTTTCTCTCATGTCTGCCTTGGTAATGGAGAAGATGAAAGAGTGCCAAGCACAGAGGGAACATGAGAACACAGAATAAGATTTTGGAGTGTATTTAATATTTCCAGGAGCCAGACAACCTTAACTGGGGTGAGTGTAGCCATATTGTATCTAGATACTATTTACAATGGAAAGAAAACCCCACAGGACGCTTACCCTAGTTTATCCATTGGCTTACCTAAGCTGGGAAGTATACTTTAGTTATTATTATGACCTCTATTATTGCCTCTGCCTCCCCTGCTGTTGTACCCATGATACTGATAGCACCACCAGCAAGCATTGTATAGCATTTGCCACACACCAATTACATTCTAAAATGTGTATTCATAGCTAGCCATGGTGACCTCACTACAATCTATGAACTAGGCCTCATTAGTTTTTCAGAATTAAAGAAAATAGAGACACAAAGACGTAATATGAGTACTTCAAGGTTGCACGGCAGGGATCTAGAATGTCATCCAAGTTTGTCCCTAGACCAAGTACTGGGCTCAATGATTGTCTTCTGAATAAGAGACTGTGTGTATGTATGTATTCATGCAGTATATATGTATTATATATCTATATATCTATTTTTTTTTACAGTTAAAGAACTTTGAGCTTATAGAGGATTTGGTTGCACACTCATAACTCCTCATGTTTGTTTGTTTGTTTTTTAAACAACCCCATCTTGCCAAAGCCATCATTACCCTCTTATGCATCTCCATTTTTATTCTTGATAACCAAGGCAGCTGGAAAGAGGTGAGCTCTTAAGGCCTCTTCCTTGTATATAATGACAAGGCCTGGCTTTTGGTTCTTCTGACAGGGGTTGGGCCCCTGGGGGACATGGAGGCTCCTGGGGGATCATGGAGCATTATGTCTCACAGGCACCAAGAGCCTGTGTTTCTAGCAAAGAAACTGTCAAGAGCCAGTCTGGCCAGTCTGGTAACATCACTGGTAAGTGAGAAAAGCCAGATGCAAATTTTGGCTGCATCTTCACACATGTGTGCTTCTTAGAAACCATTCCAGGCAGGTGAGAAAGTTTAAGTCAGGTGTTGCCCTGGCACATTGTATCTAAGGTCAGTTGGGGCTTCTAGATAGGCTACCAGAGGCATGAGTACACAAGAGACCAGGCAGCCATATCTCAATCAGGAACATTCTTCTGTCTTTTACTGCTTACCATTCAAGTTTATGTATTCTTTTTCCACAAGTGAAGTAATCACATCTATTTCCCAGCTGTGGATGGGTTAATTGATTACTCAAGACTTGAACTGGCCTCTGTGGTCTTTGCAGCCCAGGAGATTTAGGACATTTAGAGATAAGAGAATTCAGATGGGGGCTTGACACCTGCCTGTTCTTGGTAGTCACAGACATCCTAAGAGGCACTTAGGTAGAGTACTGCCAGACATGTGGAAGACTGAGTAAAATTAGACCTTGGTGACACACGGTGCTTTGATGTGAAGAAGACTTTTCTAGAATGTACTGGAAATACCTGTTATATCAACCAGCCCACAGAGTTGGTTCTTATCACCTCCGCCAGCTGATCTTCCCACAAGCACTCCTAAACTACTCCTTGCTTCCACCTCACTCTTTCTAAGGGGAACATCTCCTTGCATATTCAAGTTCTCATGTGTCGGAAAGACTGGCCCCCTTCAGGGCTGCTGGCTACCATCTTGTGATATGTCAAGGCCGACTCTCATCCTGTTTATCTTTATGTCCCCTCACAGAGTCCACAAAGTGCCTTCTCAAATACTTCCTCTTAGTGAATAGTTCCAACCACCTCAAATGTAAGAAAGCCTCGAGTTTACTTAGTGAGAAAACTGAGGTGATACATCTTGCCCAAGGCCACATGCAGCTAGGTCTTAAGTTCAGATCCATCCCACACCAAAGTGTTTGAGGTCACACCAGTTACTTCTCTTGACTTGAGGGAGGCTTTTATATTTTTATTCATTGCTGGCTCACTAAGTTGGATTTACCATTGTCTCACTCTGTGACTTTGCCCCAGATCCCAACCTCCCTGAATGTTGATGTTTCTGCCTCATCTGTGGGAGGGATAAATGACAGCAGTTCAACCCTCAACACTTGAGACTTTGTGTGTGTGAACACATAAAAAGACACAGGTCAAGGGCCACAAGCTCAAATTAACAGGAGGAATCAGATTCCAGCTGTCAACCAATGCTGCCAGCCAGCTGACAGAGATGCAGACTTTAAATAAAAGCCAGAAGTGTCCTTCCCACTTCAAAGGCCCCTTTCTTCTGCCCGATCCTACGAAAACTGTATGCATCTCACACATGTCACCTGGAGGCCAGTATCTGTGTTTCAACACCAACCTCTGAAATATGAACCTAGGTATTTTAGTTTTTTCTTCCTCTGCCTCCCAAGTCCCCAAGCCAAGTGCTGTCATAGGCCGGTGAATAAATAATTGGTTAGTCAATAATGAGATCTGGAGCCAGTGGGAAATTTTATCCAAAACTGAATTAAAAGGCATCATACACTTCCTGAACTTAGACCTCCACCTCCCACAAACGTCATGACAAGGCTGGCGGAGGGGCTGTGCGGAATACTTACTACACCCCTGGCTGACAGGAAGCCGAGCCTCTGGAGGGGCTGGCTGGGCAGGTGGCTGGACCGGGCCTCCGGGCTGACCTTGCAGTAGTTCTTGGAGCAGCGGCGGGAGTGTGTTCGGCGGGATTTCCGCCCTTCCTCAGGAGACCGACCTCGGTGCCTGGGGATCAGAAAGAGCTACCTGAAGACCTTTTAAGGCGAGCATGGTGGAGAGATGGCTAGGCAACCAACACGTCATCTGAGAGTGACAGGGCATGCTTCTGTATGTTTGTGTGATTTTTGTCCCTGGGTATGTCTCTGTGTGTAAGAATGCTGGGTTGTGTGTATGCAAGTTCCCATTCCCTTCATCACTCATCCATTCATCTATCTATTCATCCATACTCGCACCCACTGACCCACCTCTCATCCATTCATCCACCAGTCCACCCCACCCACCATCCACCCATTCTTTCATCCATATCCATACCCATATCCATCCATCTATTATCTATTCTTCTATCTACCATCAATCCATTTGTCCACCCCTCCACCCGCTTACCCACCACTCACCCATTTATCATCCATCTTGCCATCTACCCATCCAATGATTCATCTATATACCCACCATCCATCTATTCATCATTTCATTTATCTGTTTATCCATCCATTTACCATCCATCCATTTATCCATCCATCCCCCTCCTATCTATTCAGCAACTTTCTTATTCATTTAAAAAATTTATGACTATGATCACGATGACAAAAGAGGTCCCTTATTTGATCTGGTTTAATATCCCTCATATGCTTGTGATTCTATATGTTTGGGCATGACTATATATGTTTCTATGCATACCCATGTGTCTTTGTGTATGTGACTTTACCATTTGTGCAGCAGAACCATTCTATTAAGTATCACCCAAAATACTGAGGGAAACATGCCTGATAAAAATGACAGAGACACCTTGTATAAGCAAGATCTGCCTGTCTTGTCTGACCCCTTAAATTATCCACACCTGGATTCTCTGAGTTACAGCTGTAAACCATATGAATTTGAAGTCACCTGAAAACCCCTCACAATCCTTCCTGCATCTGAGGACACAGATGGGGCTGGTGTTACTTTCCCATCTTACAGATGAGGGAGCTGAGTTTCAGAGATGCTTAGGCTCTTGGAGCCTGAGGTCACATGGCTTAAAAGCAGCCAAAGCTGGGCAGGATTTTTCACCTGTAAGAACCATCTCCTCTATTTCTAGCTCTGAATGATCTCTCTGCTCTGGATCTTCCAGATCATTCTCCTGAGTATGCAACCCACATAACCAGCTCTTGGTCTGCCCTCAGGCTTTCGGAAGGTGCTTCAACATGAGTGGCTCAAGGAAGCTCAGGTGAGCACAAGACAGCAGGAGGCACAGGGCTGGAACTTGTCGTGTCAGCCATTTCTTTGGGACCCCACATAATTCTCAGGGAGCTGGTGGATCCAGAGGCTGAGGCTCTGCTTAGACACACAAAGCTGGGATCCTGGCTATAACCGGTGTCACTGTGAGCTTGTCAATGAGCATTGGGATGAGTGGCAGGTGATGTAGGGGGGCACAAAGTAACAGAAGCAATACTCTGGGTTGGGTGTTGCCAGAAAGTGGGGCGGGGGAGAGCAGGGGAGGGTTGTGATAGCCTCGAATGAGAGCTGATTAGATTGAGGCTAAGTCTGTGATCGCCAAGGAAGCAGCCTCCACTCACACTCGCTGGAGTAGAGGTACCTGGTGGTTTGTGTGTTAGAGACAAATTCTCTTATCTGGGCTCTGCTTTGCATGTCAAGGGGTCTTGCTTACATCTTGGTTAATCAGAGTACTGTGTGGCTTCACCTGGTAGTCTCCCTGGCAGCTTGGGTCCAGCAGAAACACAGAGGTCAGCTGAGGTGGGGACATGTCAGGGCCTTGGTCTCAGGGTTTCTCACACATGCTCTGTTTTCATATCCCCTGGGACAGTTTGCAGTCTCTCTGTCTGGCTCAGGGTGACTAGAGGCTGGGACTCAGGTACTTGGAATCTTTTAAAAAACGATTCTGAGGATATCACAAAGTGCAGAAAATATAGAAAATCACATCACACCCACAGCATGACAGGGCCACAGAGAAAGAGCTTGAACCAGCCTAGAGACAAACAAACAAAACCTGGCACAAAGATAAATATTTCTCCTCCTCCCTTCCTCTTCTTCCTCCTCCACCTCATTTTCTCCTTCTTGTCTTCATCTTCCTCCCACGCCTCTACTTCCTTCTCTTTGGTCTCCAGCCATCTTTCTTCCATTGAAATAAGGCGAACCCTGCCTGAGAACTTCCAGGCCCCAGGTGTCAAGAACGAGCACTTGGACAAAAAGAGAAAAGCTCTTGACATTGGGAGCTGTCTTTGGTCTTCCTGATACATATCAATAATTCCAAATTTTGTGAATGTTCCCATCCACAAAACTGCTCTCTTCTTCATCCACAAGAGCACTGCAGTCATGCCATTCTCAGACGGGGACACTTTGTGCTGTGTGTCCTTTCAGAGGTGGCTCAGCTTCTCTGTTCTGAGAATGGAAAGTCTAGAGCCAACTTCCTGGTTTTAACACTAGCTGTGTCACTCAGTTGCTAAGTATCGAGTTCTTTAAAGGCCCAGTGCCTCAGTTTCCTCATCTTCTGAACGACCTCCAGGGACTGCAGAGCGGGTCACATGAGTCGGCTGTGCTGTGGAGTGGTGGTGGTACTATTGAGCCCCTTCTGCCTGCTGACAGAAAGCGAGGGGGGGGGGGCAGCTCCGGCCCTGGGAGAGCCACTCAGTGCAGGACAGAACCTGAGTCAAACATCGTTAGCGCTGGGTGGATGAGGAACAGGGGCAAAGAAATTACCTGCTCTCGCAGCTGGAGGAGCGCAGTTCTGAGCTCTGGGACCTTGAGGGGCATCGGTGATGTCTATGGCGATGAGACTTCCGGCTTCGAGATCTTGGGGGAGGGAGGGAGAGAGGGAGGGAGAGAGAGGCGGCAGGAGGAAGGAGACACTGATTTTGATCTTGTGATTCACAAATCCCACTTATACCCAATACTGTAGGTTTGCTCTCTAAGGGACGCATCTCCCGGCTTCACCGCTTCAGCTTCCTGCTGCCATCTTAGGGGGTCTCTGCCCAACTGCCTGAGCACAGGGAAGCAAAAAGGGGCCCTTATTGGGAGTGTGGGTGACGGTTAACATGAGACTTGTCCTCGTGCTAGAAGCAAACCTGGTACAAAACCACAGCCCAGGCAGCAAGCCAAGCCTCCCGAGGTCAGGATCCACATTTCATTCCCTTTCAGCATCCAGCCAGGTTCTAGCAAAATGCTGCTCTAAGGCCTGGGCTGAAGGAAGGGTCTGCTGCGCTTCCAGTCCTTCACATGCCCAACCCTCTGATGTTTCAAGCACTTGGAGAAACAAGAGCAGACTCTTTAAGGTAAAATAGCCCTGTCTTAACGAGACAAACCTTTAAAACAAAAAGGTAACCTTTGACACATAAAAAAAACACAGGGTCTACTGGGCCTCTCAGCTGCCAGTCTGTGACCCTGGATGCAGGACAGGAACTCCGGATCTTTAGCATGGAGTCAGGAGTCTACCAACACACACTGCAACCAGCACCACCCATGCTACCGCCTCACCATTCTTGCCAGCGTCACCCTGCCTCTCTTCAGCTGCTCCCTAGGACGGGTCCCAATCTGACTGGGGATAAACGAGGAAAGTCAGGTGCTGTAGCTCGCACTTGAATCCCAGCATGTGGGAAGTGGAGGCAGGAGAATCACTGAGCTTGAGGCTTCCTTGAGCTACATAGTTCAAGGCTGGCCTGGGCGGCACAGTAAGACCCTCTATGAAATGATAAAAACAGCACAAAATGACGGATGTGTGGAATGCTGGTGTCGTAGGAATCTGCCTGTTTATCTCGGTTTATCTAAAGGAATTGATTTAATCAATTCCCTGATTAAAACCTCCTCCCTGCCTTTATGCTCTGTCCAGACTCTGGTCTTGAAGCCCAGATTCCTTCAGGAGCTGGTCCTGCCTGGCTGTCCGTCTGGCTTAGCCATCCAACATCTTTTGCTCTGACCTGCCAGACTCAAGCAACGATGGATAGTTAACTCAGCTTGTTTTCTGGCTCCAGAGACCTTTTGGAGGAATATGGCAATGACCTCAGGCCCCTCGTATCTAATATATCCTTCAGGCCCAATTGCATCCTAATCGTTTTCCTCCTACAGATTCTGCTGTTCTTCATAACTGATGAAGGTGAGTCCTCTCTCTATTCCAATGCTATAGTGAAGAAACTGAGGCCAGAGAGTTGACACTATGCCTTCCGTGCCGCCTGGGATGCCCTTCTTCAGCGAGCCACCCTTGCCATCAAGCCCCATTTTTCCTACTGGTGCCCTCTGTTCCAAGCTCCCATCCTCCACTACTCTCCTGTACCATCTCGTGTGCCCACTGCCACGCGCCAGAGCCTCACTAAGGCAAAGGTGATGAAAGAAATAACTCCTGCTTATTCAACTCTTGGTCAGCTTGGGAAGAACAACCATTGCTTCCTGGAAGGCCCTGGATTCTTGCTCTCTGGCCTGACTCAAGAGCTTTGCTTGTTTTCCGATGATAAACTGCCAGTACTTGTCCAGCTTTTCCTGCTGGAGAGGGTGACCACCTCAATGCCATCATCAATCCTCCTAGTGTTCCTGAGGCTGTCAGGCCCAAGGCCACTGGTCTCTGTGAACATACAGTGTGTGCTGGGAGTGAAAACTCTTTGGTCACAACACACTCTGGCATGACCCTGCTTCATCCTCACAGGGGCATGACAATAGGACCCACTTCAGGGGATTGTAGCGGGAGTCACTCTGTTAGTAACGATTCTCTCGATGATGTCATTTAAACTAATTGGCTAAAGAGGATGTCTTCCCTGATCCCACTGGATCCCTCCTTCCTTTTGGAGTGTGTACTTCGTGTCTTTGTGGCACTGACTGAAATGCCCTCCTCTGTACTGACCTTGAATAAAGGCACCCTTTGAGGCAGCCATGCTGAGCGCCCTCCCTCTGTGCCCTGCCTCTTCTTTTCCCTCCTCAAAAGCTGGTCTCCTTTCATTCTCCTGTCTTTGATCCTCCCTTTAGATGCTTCTTGGCGGGAGATAAAATATTAGTTGATTGGAAAACACATTGCACTAACGTTTACAGGGTATAAAGTAGGTGGGTTGTAACCAAATTTACTTTTAATTTGATGGGGAAACTGAACTCCACAGGCAGTACTGGCTGATTTGAATTTCTACTACCGGCTATAAACTGTGAAACAGCTGGGCCTGAGATTCAGGACTCCTGGGGAGTCCTGTACTGTAAGCCAGAGTATGTAAACCAGAAGTCAGAATATGCATGTAGGTGCTTGTCACACACACACACACACACACACACACACACACACACACACACACACGCACACTCACACACACACATGTCATAATCCATGCAAACACTACACAGACATGCGCACAGGTAAAGACTGCTACACACCCCCTACCCAGGATGCACAGGCACACGCAGAGCGAACAGGATTCATACACATGGGCTCACAGTGTGCCATGTGTGAGTGCTGCTTGCCGCCACGCTCACACACGCAGGTACACAAATGCGCTCATGTGAACACAGCCAGATCCCATGCACACATGCGATGTGCGCCCGTGTTACGTGCGCTGTGCAGACCGTGTGCACAGAGGTCTGCGGGGCATAAAAATGCGTAGACATTTATACATGAAGTGAGCGCTACACTTATAGACACTACATACAGATCTATGCATGGCATACATACATGTTTCGCATATAATGAGCACTTCAGGCACGAACACACGTGCTGTGCACAGAAAGCACGCCTGCGCACACCTGCGTATCATATACAGTCTGTGTATTCGTGCGTACCCCCTCCTCGCTTTCAAGTGAACACTAGGCCCTCGCTGGAGCCTCCTCCTTTTCTTCCTTCCTCCCTCTCAGCCACGGCCCCTTCCCTCCTCTGTCCCTGTGTATTTCATGGCTAACGCTCCCAGCTGAGGAGAGGCTAGGCCTCTCCCCCTCTCAAGGTGCACGGTGTGCTCCGGGGCCTCTGTCTACTCACTGTTTTTTGTGCCTCTTCTCTTCCCGTCGTTTGCCTTTAGGGCTACAGGAGCTAAATGAGAAATGGGCCAGTTAATTGAAAGATGAAAGCAAAGCACCCAGGGAAGTTTAAGCTTAAACGCAGGCAGGTTGTTCAAGCGCCAAGGACTTTACGTCAGACCAGGTATCCTGGCTCACGCCCCTGTGCTGAGAACAGGGTGCTGGCCAAGGAGGGCAAGCTCGCTCTGCTAGGCCAGGAACTGCAATGGCAATAATGAGGGTCACGGTAGTGATACCTGCCGTGCTGTGGCCTTAGTACACATTAGGCACCATGCTAAACAGTCTGTGTGAAACACCTACTGAACTCTATTGTCCCTGCCACCTGCAGGTGGAGCACAGCTTGTAAAAAGCCCATTTTAGAGATGGAGAAATGAAACCTCTGATGGGCTAAGGTGCTTGGGCAGGATCACACAGCTGAGCTGGGGAGTGGCCAGGACCGTGGTCTGCTGCAACTACTGGCCAGTCTGTTTACAAGGGAATAAAATAGCCACAGAGACAGACAAAGCCAGATCAGGTTTGGCAGATTATGAAACATCCTGCCCACGAATATTCAAGTACCAGGGGCTAGGGTATAGGCAGAATGAACCACCATGACCCGGGGTCCCAGTGCAGACAAGCAGAAGTCTGAGAAATTGAGCCTGCTAGCTCAAGCCAGACTGGCTTCACGAGATCACCAAAACCCATCGCTGTCTTCTGAGGTCCTGGACATTAATTTCATCTAGTGATACCACACCAAGTTGGAGTCCCGTCTCTGCTGCTCGGGTGAGTGACATCAGACAAGTGACTTGACCTCTCTGAGACCACTTGCCTCAACTACACAAAGAGGAAGCCACAGCTTAAGCCAAGTGGCTGACTGCATAGCACTCACTGGCAGCCCGTGACAGTGAGAATGGCTGTTTATTCATCACGAGCACAGGAGTACATCTTCTTCCCCAAACCGTTCCAGATATGGCCACTGTCACCTGCATACATGTCCTATCTGACAGATTTAGCTTTGCATTTTGGCTTTGGCCCTGGCCTCTCTTGTCTTAGCCTTAGTTTCTCCATCTATCAAATGGGAACATAAGCATGCCCACTGCTCAAGGTTGAGACAAGTTTTAGGAGGGGCTAATTAAGGCCCACTTTGCATGAGTCCCCGTGGCAGTTTCATGTTGCTCCCCATGTGTCCTCTATCCCTTGCCCAGATGTAAGAAAGTTATGGTGGAGTGGTAAGGCCTGTGTCTCCTAAAAGCCTTGACTTCCAATGTCTGGGTAGAGCTCGGTCTAGGAGCAATGCACAGCCCCATGGAAGTTCAAAGTGGGCTATGACTGTTCTGGGAAATCAACACAGGCTTTCACTGTCGAGAGAACTAAGGCCCAGAAAGACAGATGGGAGCATGGTGATGGAAGCTAGGAGCCCACCCAGGCAGCTGCCCAGAGCAACCCACAGAAGCAGAAAGCTGAGCAAGCAACCGGAAGGAAGCAGCAGGGGCCTTACCTGTGTCTCCTTTTCTTCGAGAAAGACCTGATTCAAAGGAAAGAGACAGGGAGGAGAGACAGCAGGGAAGGGAGGAAGAAAAGGGGGGAGGAGGGAGAGGAGAGAATAAACACAGGTGAGTGAGCATTTCTTCCCCGGATGGTGCTTTAGTGCCTCTCGATCTAGACTCCTAGACTCAAGACTCCTAGCTGAACCTCCTCCCCCATCAGCTTTAAAAGAACATTAAGTCCACAGGGGAAGCGCTGACTTATGCACGAGTTTCAGGTCAAAGCCCACCAATGCTCGTGAAAAGCTATCAGCAAACCTCCCCCAAGATGAAGTTGGACCCGGAGGGCATGGGAAAGTGTGGTCTGCTCCCCAAACCCTTTCACTCCCCAAATTCTCTCATCCCTAGCCTTAGTTTTAGATTTTTCCTCCTCCCCCTCCTCATCTCCCTCCTCCTTCTGCTCCTCCACCCACCCTCCTCCCCATTTGCAGAACCCTTGCTGTGCATCAAGCTCTGTACTGTCTGTACAACCTCATTCTGTCCATCCCTATGATAAACTATGGAGGGCGGTGAGGGTCAAAACTTATTGCCTGGTCGCCTCTGCCTTCTTTCCCTCCCCCAGACTCTCCCTGCAGCAGTTTGCAGCAGTTCTGGGTCCAGCAGCTACATCCTTAGTGGAGTCCAGACCTCTTTACCCTGTAATCACCACTGACCCAGCAGATGGGAACAATCTGGAAGGAGTAGCTGGATTTTGGTCACTGTTTTGTTTCTGGGGCTTGGAAATAGAGTATGAATAGAGGTAGAAATGAAGTTTTTAAAAAAGTCTCAAATCCAGAGGTCGTGGTGATGAACACCTTTAATCCCAGCACTCGGGGAGACAGATGTATCATTGTGGGTTTGAGGCCAGTCTGGTCTACAAAGTCCAGGACAGCCAAGGCTACACAGAACCCCCCACCCTACTCTCTCTCGGAAAAAAAGTTTCAAACTCTGATATTGAGAAAAGGAAGCAAAGGTTCTATGTTTTCTGTCTCTCACTGTTGCTACCTCCAAAATCATCAGCTGTTGTTAACCAACATGTCCTGACACAGACTTGGAGAAGTTGGGGGGGGGGAGGGGAAGTCCAGAAGGCTTTAGGATGGGATAGGATATTCATTCTTATTCTTCCCCTGACCCTTCTCTCTCTTCAGGGTCTCACTAAATTGTCCAGGTTGGCCTTGAGCTTGCCTCAGACTCATAAGTACCTGGGAATCCAGGTCTTGAGTGAGAAGCCACCTGGGTTTTGGGATGCAGGTGTGGAAAAGTCCCCTGACTGGCACCAGCTGCTCTGCACAGGCAGGTGACAGGTGTCCATCTACATCCACGGGCACAGCCTTGCCTTAGCATCCCAGGCTCCATGGTGGGAACGATTTATGACTCCATAGGAACCACATCTCACCAGTCACCCACAGTCTCAGCTTACGGAAACCCCGGACAGGTGGTAGCTGTAGCCAGTGGGACCAAACTGAGTCTGAGAACATTCTAACAGCACAGGGTGAGATGCGACCAAACCCCTGGACTGAGAAAGCTCTTATTTGGTGCCACTTTAGAGATGAAGAAAACCCAAATGACCTCTGCCCTTTGGTAACGGCACACAATTAAACCATATAGGGGGCATTGGGAGATGTGAACAAACTAGAATAAATCACAAGTCAGGCTGATGGCCCCATGAACACAGGTTCCTCTGAGCTGGCTGACAGTGGCCCATGGGAAATGGCTCCATGAGAAAGACTTTCTTTATGGAAGAATGGCACCATGGAAGTTTTGTATTGCAAATTATCTTAATTATAACATGTTGGCTTGGCCTATTGGCATCACCCGTTTCCACTTTTCCCCCTGCCTCCCGTACATATGCATATGCATTTGACTCCACGTGTGTACGTGTGTGTTTGTGAGTGTGAGTGAGCATGTGTGCATGCATGTGTGCGTATAGTAAACACCTGGACTGAGAGTCCAAATCATAAGATGCCCTTTCGTGACTCTCTCTGTTCCCCACCCAAGGCAGGGATCTCTGGAAGTCTTGTTCTTCTTCATGATCCCGCCCTCTGGGACACAGCAGGAGCCAAGGAAGACCTTTTCCTGGGACTTTGGAATAATGACGAAGATATTATTGTCTGCTTCTAGCTTGACTGTGACGTGGCAGGAACGGGATGGGTTGCAGCACCCCCCCACCCCCCCATCAGGCGTCAGGAGGAACTGCCTGAGTTCTGGCGCTCCACTCCTTTTTCCAGCCCCTCTTCTAGGCCTGGCTGGTCCCCAAACCTTCCTGATTCCTTCGAATCAGCTCCCTTTCTGTTCTGAGTTAGCTTTAATGGATCTTTATTCCTCCCCACAAGAGCTCCAGCTCACACTGAGGGCAAATACACGATGAGATGGGTATAAAGTGAGCATGCTACACAGATTATTCGAGGTTCTTCTGGTGACCTTGGTGGGGGGGGGGCCTGGACCCCACCACATCCGGGTCATCCCTGTCTGAGGAGGAGGAAGAACAGTACCTGTGTCGTTTATGCTTCTTGGAGCTTTTCTTCTTCTTCTTCTTGACTGGCGATGGGCTGTAGGATGGGGACCTGCGGGAGGAGACAGGCTGCCGTGGGTCCCTTCTCCGTCTGGACACAGCTCTTTGGGGGATCATAGGCAAGGACAATCCCCATACTGATAGTAGCCTGCGTTAACTTAGATGTCATGTGCCCTACCCCTGTCTTAAGTAGATATGCAGAGAGGTTAAGGCGACCTGCCCAAAGACACTCAGCCAAGACATGGATGGTCTGAGATTTGAACAGAGATCTCTCTGTTCCCAAGGTTTGTTTTCATTATAACAGCAGCAACCCATAGCTTACCCTTTAGTTGAATCTAAAAGGCTTTCTTGGTCTCATCTGTAGCTGCCCGGCAAGTTCCGCCCCTCCCACAAAGCTCCGCCCCTCCCATACTCTGTGCTCTGTTCTCTGCTGTCTCCTTGGTAAAGCTGTGTCCCTGAAGTCATAGCATGGGTGAAGCCACCAGTGGGCCCTGGGAAACAGTTACCCTCCTTAGGGCCGTGGTGATGACTCAGCCTGTCTCTGTGTTGACCTGATTTCCGCTGTTGACTCCACCACCAACTCACAGGCCTTTGGGAGAATCACAGTTTGTCTCTAGGTTTTTATTTTCCTCATTGACGCAGCGGCTAGCAACCGAGGGGCAAGCTAGGGGCCAGCGGGAGCCTCTCTAATGGGGTAGATGAATGAAGCAGCCTGGCTGGAAGCCTGCAGGGAGTAGTGACGACCGAAGGGAGCCTGAGAGCAAGCAGCGGCCTCTCAGACCGGCGTTGGGGTTCAGTGTGAGACGCAGCCCCAACTTTCCACAGCATCGGCATTTCCCATAGAAGGTTCCTGAAATCCATATTTTCATATAAAAATATCCCAATTTTTAAAGAATGCACACTAATTTTATTTTCTAATAAAATAATGATAGGCTCAATAAAACTATCAGCCAAGAGAAATGGATCAGCAACAACTTGAGAAACGGCATCTGGAGTTAGAATAATTAGGGAGTCCCACGTCTTAGGCTGTTTCCTCCTCTAAGCTCTGCACGCTTCTAAAATCGGGAAACTCAATTTACGGCAGGAACGCGGGAATGTCACCCGCCCCCTCTCCCCAACCCCCTGTCCTCTTTGGGTCCATCCTGAAGAAGCAGCTAACCAGGAGTGATGGAGAACACCCTCCGCCCCCCGCCTCCCGCCCTCTCCCCCCGCCCCCTTACCCACCCCTCCCCCGCCCTCTCTCCCAGCCCTCTCCACCAGCCCTCTCCCTCCCTCCCCCTTCCTCCCGCCCAGTGTCCCCTCCCTCCCCCGCTTCCCGCCCCTCGCAAACAGCACTGCCCAGGTCTGAGCAGTCCAGGCATTGCTCTCTGCTGCCCCCTGCAGGCTTCTATAAACACTGCTTGGGTGGAGGTTGGGTGATTCCGTACTCCCCTGGATTCAGAATCCTAGACAAGGTTTGACTGACAGCAGACAACGGAATCTGGGAATGTTTTTAAATATAAACACGTCTTGAAAGAATTGTGGGTAGCAAGAGATTCACGAAACCCAAAAAGAGCCACGAGATGGTATTAATATAAAACGTTAACCCTAGGTCAAGAAAACATCCTAAGAATCAAGTCAAATTCAGATTCTGTCATTCCCATCCTATGAGCCTTTATCCTCCCATCTCTGAAATGGGTACAATGTTTCCCTTGTAGAGTACGGCCTGGGGCAAAAGGAAACCAGGTAGCAAAGTGTCTGGCCTAAGTCTCTGCACTAAGTTTCAGCCACTCAAGCTGAACATTTGTGGTTAATAACCGCTTCTTATTAATTGGTCATACACAATTGCTAAAGACCGTGTCAGCTGCCTCCATATTTTCCTCCTCCTCTTCCGTCTCCTTCTCCTCCTGTTCCTCCCTCCCCCACCCCCGTGATACACTGCCTCACGTTTGTAGCTCAGGCTGACCTAGAATGCGGTATGTAACCCAGTCCCATCTCAAAATCACAGCAATCCTCCTGCCTCACAATGCCCATTATTGTGCTATTATTACAGGCATGAGCCAGCATACCCAGTGTCATTTCTCTTCTAATTCTCACAAAATCCCAAGATTTTGGTATTATCCCTATCACTTGCAGAAGGTGTGGTGGGGGGGGGGGCACAGAAAGGTAGACTCTAAGTTTCTGAAGGTTAGGAGGCAAAGAAGGGGTTTGAACTGAAGGTGTTTCCCTGCCAGATTGTAAACCCTTATTACTCCCACAGTGTCCCTTCTCTCTCGGAGTCTTTGAGGTTTCATGTCTCTTCAAGAGCCTCACCTCCTTCTCTTCTTTCTGGTCGATTTCTTCTTTTTCTTTTTGCCCCTGGAGGAAGGTGGTGGTGTCAGGTCTCTGTCTTGAGAAGCACTGTGGGAAAGGAAAAGCCAAACATGAGAGGGTCCCTTGGATCTCTGGCTAGGCTGTCACAGTCGAAGAGAGAAAAAGGATGCTGCTCCTCAGAGAACCAAAGACCCATGGTGAACACCTAATTGCCACCTCATGGCTGATTTGGTCACACCTCAGATTAAATGTCTCAAATAAGGACTTAATGCCCACCTAATGAGACAGACACTGTAGTTACCCAAACACCAATTGATTATTTAAAACAAGGTTTATAGAGGTTAACTGCCCCCTTAATAGATTTATTATTGAATTTGCAAATGGCTCACCTCGGTAAATAAATCACTTTAAAAATAATGAATTGGCAGCTCATCCCACTCCCTCCCCAATCCATCCCATCTACACACTCCCTGCTGTAAATTCCAGGATGCAGAAGGTGTGTTAAGGAGAAGCCGATTATTAAAAGTGTATTTGCTTGGGTCTAATGTAACAAGATACATATCTTACATCGCTTCACAGAACCTCAAAAAGCTCCACTCTTCAGGAATAATTATTTCCCATTCAATTAAATCCAAATGCTCAGGCTGCAGCTAAATGAAGTCAAGTTATCTTCTTTTATAATTGGGGCAGGCTCCAGGGATTAAAAAAAGAAGAACGCTATCCTATAGCAAAGAGAGATGGCTTCGGATTGAAAACTGCTTGAGAATAGAGATGTGCGAGCTCAGCTTACTGCAACAGCTAGTATTAGTCTCAGTCCTATTATTTTAGCAGCAGCAAAAGTAGGACTGTTGTGTTTATTACACACCAAGAGTTATATGTACTTTGGTATAAAATAATTAGAAGACAGTGTGTTTTGTGGCCAGAGGACAATTTTGGGTTTCATTCATTAGGTGTCATGTCTTTTTTTTTTTTTTTGACTGGATCTTTCACTGCCCTGGAGCTCAACAAGTAGCTGAACCTCCTGTCTCCATTTCCCCAGTGCTGGGATCACAAGTGTGAGCCCCCACACCTCACTTTTTTTTTTTTAAACCCGGCCCCTGGGATTGAGCTCTGGTCTTTTCACTTACAAAGGCAGAACACTTTGTTGAGAAAGCCCTTCTCTAGGAGACCAGTGTGACCCTTGTCATTTTATTTCACAGGTGAAAAAAATGAAGTCTGGAGAGCCGAGCTGACTCACTGGTGGCCACACAGCCAGGAATCACTTAAGCTGGGATTTGAACCTGTGCAACTCCTGCTCCATGCTCCAAGAACTACCTTAAAAACCCAGCTGCCTTCTAGAGCCATTTGTGCGGCCAGTCAGATGGAAATGGCCCAACTCACTAGAACATCACATAGCTTTGTCATATCTCATTCCATTTGAAGAATCTGGATCATTGGGGTTGGCACAAGGGATGATAAGGGCCTAGAATGTGTGGTAAGGCCTCTGCCCCACCAATAAATGGATCTATACATCCATATATATATACATATATATATTTAAGAGAGTAATTTCTAACAAGTTAAAAATAAGCATCATAAGAATTAAACCTCTAGCTATGGAATCACACCTACATGCCATAAAGAATGAAGCACAATAGACCATCCAGAAAATGAACCGCTGCTTTTAAAGACACAGTGGGCCACTTCCTACGTTCTTTCTGTAAGGAATACTTGACTCACAGCAAGAACCTAGTGAATACTGGCCAAATAACCAAGTGATAGATGGCGGGTCCTGGCTACGTGCTGAGGCGTCTTGTTTGATAGGAGCACACCTCAGTGCAGCAGCTGCTAGGAATTGGGGAGTGAGGTGTTACAAAGTGTGTCAAAATGAGGAAAGATTCCACTGTTAGGACCAAGACATCGAACATCTAGAATCCTAAAGTCTTAGAAGCAAGGGATCTGAGAACCAGCGTCCTGGACTCAGCTTTCAGGAGTAGGATAAAGCTGCAAAGTTTTCAGGTTCAGCAGACCTGACGTCTGTGAGGTGATTACAAATAGCCAGTCCCTCCAGAGTGTCCCCAAGCCTTCACACACATGGAGCCACATTCCCCATCTTGCCCTGCTTCCATGGAGTGCATCACAGACTACTTCAGAAGCACACAGTGGTTAGTGTCAGGCACTGGGGTTGTGTACACGACGCTTGTACACACTGATGGTCCATGTCAATAGCAGTGGTCAGTAGTTCAAGTGGCTAAGGGTGCGGCGGCTCAGTCCACGCTGTGAAGAAGGCAGAGGATGAGAGCTCGGCAGCTAAGCACACATGGATGAAGATAAGTACTCAGCTACTTGTGTAGTTTTAAAATGCGGCAATCCTGCTCCACATACATGGCCGAATCTTCAGAGGTTAACGGTGAATAAAATAGCAGTAGGAAATGATTGTTCTAGAAACACACAGACCCGCATTTACACTCTAAGCTCCCTTCCCAGCTCAGAGATTTTTTTTTTTTTAAACTTGTACTGTCATCATTTAAGAGGTAGGAATTAAGCCGGGTACCTGGGTCATAAGTGTGCTGCCTCGTGCCTTGGCCTGCCCCTCAGTACGTTTACAGTTCTAAGGGGATTGTGTGGCGGTCACAGGCCATGTAACATCATTCCGATTGATGAGACAGTTGTCCCATTAGATGATAATGGAGCCGGAAAACTCCTATTGACTGGCAGATCTGTATGGTGTTGCTGGCAGGGGCCAGCTACTGTGTTTTCATTCAGGTAAGATACAGCGCAAACAATTATGTGCAGGTCCTATTGCTCGGCGATGCTAACAGGGCCAGGGTATGTCGTTATTCCATTTTTATTACCAGAGAATAGAGAAACGTTTGCCTTAGGCAGAAGTCTTTCCACTCGGGTGTCTGCTTTGTCTCTTGATTCCACCGTCTCTCGTGCTCGATCTGACCTGCGCTGTTTTATTCCCCACTGCCCTCAGAGCTGTAGGCTGCGCTGTGAATGCGCAGATGTGATGCACAGCTCACATCTGTGTGGACTGTGCTCCATCTCCTGGGTTTGTGTAAGCTCCCTCTCAGGTGTTTGGACAACAAGATCTGGGGACGGACTCTTCAGAACGTGTCCCGGTCATTAAGTATAATCAGTGTGACTTTTCTTATCACTGATCTGATGGTTATTAATTACCATCATTACTTTGGCTTTTAACTCCTCGGAGAATCAGTCACAGACAGAAGATGACAAGAGGCTTAGACATACTGTACCGCTCAGTTCATAACACAGCATCTTCCTTTTTCCCTTTAGCTGTTCATGTCCAGGCTCCAAGGCTCTCTGATGCTCTTAACCAGTACTTTTCTATGGACCACCTATGTCCTAAACCTAGTGTCAGGGCATAAACAGACCCATCACAAGTAGAAATGCCCCGCACAGCTCATGTCTGAACCCTGCTTCTCAGCTTGGTGTAGCTATTTTGGAGAGGCCATGTGAGATTTAGTGGATGGAAGTAGGTCATTGGTGGTGGCCTTTGAAGGTGACACCTGCCCTGGTTCTGGTCTCCCATCACCTCACACCCTAACTTCCACAATCACTGGAAATACCCCTGAAACCAGGAGCCAAAGTAAACCTTCCTTCCCATACCCCATTTCCATCACATACTGCGGTTAACAGTGCAAAGAAACTACCACAGTGCCTGATCCATTTCAGTTCTCGCCTCGGCCTTCAGACGGAGATCTTCACAGTCTCATTTACAGCTGTTTAACTGAGATGTGGGCGAGAGTTCAAAACATCACCCACATTTTTAAAAAACTCCAAGCCTGATGGTGTGTACTTGCGATCAGAGCACTGGGCCAACTGAGAGAGGTGGATACTTGGGCTTGCCAGCAAGCCAGCCTAACCTAATGGTTGAGCCCTGCGTCCCTGTGAGAGACCCTGGGCTGGAAAACAAGGTGAGGATGCCTGCGCCATAACACCTGAGGGTGGTCTCTGGTTTCCACCACTTCCATGCACTACATGCACACACACGCATTCCCACACTCACACATGCACACACACATGCACACACACACGCACACACACACATGCATGCACACCCCCCCACACTCACAGGTATATACGCACCCCTCCCTCACACTTGCACGTGCACACACACTCGCTCTCACACACATAACATGGTATATAGTAAGCATTCAGCTAAGACAGTAATGGGCTGGGCTCTGTGTGTGTAAAGTAGAAAGCCGAAAACCAGGGGGCAGAGAGCATGTTGGCGCCTTCAGTATCAACTGTAGGCTTAGCTTAGTTAAGGCAAGAAGGCTGGAGTTTATTCATTTAGTTGTTTTTTTTTTAAATTATTTAGCATGTCTGTGTATGGGCATATGTGGGTGTGTGTCATGGTGCATGTGGTGGAGATCAGAAGACAACTTGCAGGAGCTGGGTCTTCCCTTCTACCGAGTAGGACCTGAGGATCTGCTCCAGGTTATCAGGATTATCAGCAAGCACCTTTACTTCTGGGCTATCTTGCTGGCCTCAGATGGAGTCGAAGTCTTCACTGTTTTAATTGCTGTTTATCATATCTTGCTCACCCCGTCACCTTTATGAGACTCAGTGAAATGACACTTATGGATGCCGAGCACAGTATCTGTCATCTAGCAGGGACTGAAAAGATGCTGGCTGAATAGCTGAGTTAAGGAATGAGTGCAAAGGTCTGAAACGCAGGACGCAGATATGATTTGGAACTATTATTTGAGAGCCCAAGGCTCATAGAACCACCATGCCAGGGAATAACTCTGTCATTAAACACGAGCATCTTGACCAATGACCCAAGTGATGGTTAAGTTAGAATATCAAACTGACTAGAGTAAGTGATGCCCAGGAGACAGGTAGAGAGTACTTCTGGGGGTTGTCTGTGGGGGGTGTTCCTGAGATGACTGACATATAGAACAGCCAATGAGGGAAGACCCACCCTGAAGGTGATGATCTAGTATTTGCTGAGCTTTCGAAGGGAGGAACAAAGGTAGAAAAAGGAAGAGGCACAGCTAGGGAAGGAATGAAGGTGCTCCCTTCCTCCCTCTTCACCACCCCCTCTCCCTCCCTGCCCTTTCTCTTTTATCTCCCTCTCTGCCTGATTCCCTTTCCACCCTGCCTTGTCATACATAGAAACAACAGAACCAAGGGAGCATGTAGCCGTGAGCCAAAAATAATCCCCCTCATTTTGTTTACATAAGCATGTGCCACAGTGGTGGAAAGCTAGCTTGTACAAGCTGAGACTAGCTTGCCTCCTGTTTGTATACATTCATTGTCATTAGAATGTCAGCAAACCCATTCCGTGTCTGGATCTAGAAAGTTGCGACAACAGCCATTGGGTCAACAGACCTAAAACACTGGCTCCCTGGGCCAATTAAAAAAAAAAATGCTAGCACGTGACTCAAACTTTTAAAGAGGAACCTGAAAAAGAGAAGGGGTCAGAGAGGCAAACTTCACTTTTCACACACTCCACTTGAACTCAAGAGGAGCACAACATCTCACCTGTGTGCTCTGGCAGGACCCAGATCCCTGCAGGCCTTGTCTCTGCCCCAGCTGTTGGTATCAAAGGCTTCAGTGGTCAGACACTGGCCCAGTTTTTCTGAAGGTCCATCCTGGGCTGGGACCAACAGGCTGCTCTGGGGCTCTGTCCTGCAGGAAAGAAATATGGAGGTAAATGTGTTAGGAGATTTGAAGTCATTTCATTAAATATTCAGAACTACAATTTTCTAGGCCCCTTGCTAGACTGAGATCATTAGATTAACATTGGTCTTTTTTTTTTTTCCTCTATGAGTGGAATGTGTGTGTTTGTTTGTTTATTTGTGTGTGTGTGTGTGATTTCCAGTTTAAGGCAGCCAAGATCCATGTGTCTCTTCTACCTTTCTCTTTCTGCCTCAGCAGCTTTGAAAGCTACATACTCCAAAAGTTGAAGCCACTTGGAGGAGGAGAGACATCTAAACTATAATTTTTTTAAAGAGAGAAACATTTCAAGCAACTACATTAAGCTGCTCAGAGTTCATTACTGCAGCATACCCCATGCTGTCCTGACTAAAACACAGGAAAATCTTGGAGACCAGCATTCACCTCCTCTCTCAATGGAGACTGAAGCATAGAAGGAATAGTTTAACGCTCTTTGCCTCCTCTTTTTTAAAACTCTATTTCTCCATACTCTGGGACCCTATTAAATGGAAAAATTCAATGAGCAGATCACAAGTATGAGTGCAGACTTCTCTGAGTGCTGCAATGAAATCTTGCACTGTCCTACTGCCTCCAGCTTGGGACATGAACGGTCCTTTTATCTAGCGTTTCCATGCTGTATATGCTACCCAACTGGCGGCCATTTAGTAGTTATCTCTAGCAGTCTAGCTGACACAGCACTAGAACACTGTGTCCAAGTCGCCTCCCTTTGTACTTAATAATGACCCCGAGGTACAAGAGGATGATGCTGGACATTTGAATATGACAAAGGGAAGACATGGGTGTTTTCATTTTATGAGATACAAAAGGACAGTGCAGTATTTTAAGAGAGAGAGATCACATTTATAGTATGTTATTTCCTCGTTTCCTTAAGTATTAATGTTAATCTCACACGATATCTAATTTATAAACAAAACTTTTTCGTAGGCTCATATGTGAAGGAAAAAAAAAGCATAGTATGTACAGTGCTTGATACTTTCCAGGATTGCCCTGTGGTCTTTGAGACTATTCATATTGGCTGTGTGGGAGAGTTTGGTCCCTGTTTTATCCAGTTAGCATCGGCAGTTCCTACAGCCAGCCACTGGCCTACTGAGTTCCAAGTCCCTCGGCAGTAAAACAGAGAACACCATTGGTCCCTGGACTCTTGACGTGGCATGAGGACAATGATAACTTGTGCCAACCAAAAGATCTAGAAAATAACATGTTCTAGATTTTATATTGTTTTTACTTTCTTGTAAATCAGCCAGTCTGGTGTGCTTTGCAGGGATGAGGTCACCTACTTGGAATAGCAGTTCCCATGATGACTTAAGTTTCCTTCCTCTTGCCAAGCAACACCTGGGAGCCACTAATGCACCTTACCTATTTGAGTCCTAGAAAGGCACAAGAAGTTGCCTAGTCACTCAATCTTTGAGGATCCTGTTACTCAAAGTCCTGGGTCCAAACCAAGAGGAGCCAGGAGCTTGAGGGTCATGGGTGTATCTGAGCTCATTCTGCTTTCTGACTCTCAGTCAAGCATTGATCAAAGGCATTGGCTCTTCTTCTGTACCAGCCTCCTGCATCAAGGCTGGTTTTATAACTTGGCATGAATGGATCTGGTAAGTTCCCTGATCCTTAGGGTTTCTGGAGAGTGAGCCAAGCTCTGTTAATAGGGAAGCAAGGGCAGAATAACACATCCATCTCTGCCAGCCACTTATTGGTACATCTTCAGAAGCAGAGCTGGGAGTCACTGCCAGCCGAGGAGGGATGGAGATTCTAATCAATGCTGCCTCCTTGCCTACTCCAGGCCAACTTACATTCATTAACTCCAACCTCAGGGCGGGTTCTCAGGGTAGGGATTCAGTGACCCAATCAGGAATGCTACTATGACCATGAAGTTTATATTCAGATGGCAGAGGAGATCATTATCACTTAAGTATGAAAAATGTGACTTATTGAATGTGACCAATTATGATGAGGATAGAGCAGCAGAGAGGATTAGGAAAGTGGGCAAGTGGCTATTATTCCATAGAGTCAGAGAAGAGTCCTTTGATGAGCAACAGGGAGAGGGAACTTACTGGGCTAATGTTCAGAATGACGTAGCCTAAAATGTAGTCACAGATTGGTTGACACTATTGCCAGCCATATTCTCTTCCCTGGAATACTGGATGAACCCAATCACTTCTTTGTCATGAGCACAATGGTAGAAGTGATCATGGATGACTTTCAAACTGTCCCTAGGCAGTGTTTGCCTTGCACTCCTTGATAGACTATGCTAAGGACCATCATCTTCCACATCGTAAGAACACTCAGCCCCATGGAGAGGCCCACTGCCAATAGCCAGCCCTGACATCCAGCCATGCGAGTGGGCAGGTGGACATCCAACCTTGTGAGTGAGCATGAGGACACGACAAGCTTTTGGCTGAAGACGCAGTCCCTGGGGCATCTAACAACAACCTCAGGAGACGTGCTGAGTCCGAACCATAATAATAGTACATTCTCAACTCAGAGAAACTATGAAACACAGCTGCTTCCTGGTTTTGTTTTGTTTTTTTGTTTTAGCTACAAGGATTGGGAGTGATTTTTTTTTCCCATGATAATGCATCCCTTCTGCACAGGCGTAACAGAAAGGGGGAGGTGCATGTTTGGCAGAAAGATTCAAGTTCAAAGACCCCGGCACATGCAGGAAAGGCAAGAGGTAAGACCAGAGATGAGGTCATTGCAGTGGCATTTCTGAAACTGCCCTGGGAGATGTGCTAGCCTAGCTTGTTCTTTTTCTCCAATAGTTCTAGCTTTCTGAACTGGGGTACCCCATTGGGAAATCTGCAGTAAAACAAACAGAAATATAATAAATTCTACAGGAAGTGCTGAAGGGAGGCACAGAGTCCTCCATGACAGAACATTCAAGATCTTATTTTTAGACATCCTAACATTTATGGCTTAGTTTTCCCCTGCCCCCACCTCCGCTCTCCATCTCTTGTCTATGTATATACATACGTATGTGCACACAGATGTCTGCCTGTGGAAGCCAGAGGTCAACCTCAGGTGCCATTCTGAGACAGAGCCTGTCACTGGGAGTTGGGGCTTGCTGAGGTCTAGGCTTGCTGCCCAGACCTGGGTTGTGGACATCTTCCTGTCTCCAGCCTTCCAGATCTGGGATTTCAAATGTGTGCCACCACACCCAGTAGCTTACATGGGTGCAAGGGATCTAACTCAGGTCCTCACACTTGTATAGCAAGCACCCGAGTAGCTGAGCCATCTCCCAGCTCTGCTCAGCTTTCTTAAAACTGGAAGAGGGAGTGAGCTTAGAGTACCATGTTTCCCAAGCTTGGCACAACATCAGAAGTTCCCCGTGAAGTTTATGAGTAAGATCCTAGTAAGATCCTAGATGTAATGAATGAGAGTCTCATAGAGGTCGACCCAGGAATCTACATCCTAAAGAAACATCCCAGATAACACAGCCACTTGTCAGACTAGGCACAAAAATCCAGAGATGCCGCAGGATCTGGCCTCTGCCCCATCTCCTGCTTCTCTCCCTGTTGTTCCATTGTTCTAGCCATATGGTCTTCTTACTGTTCTCAAATAGGTCAAACACTGTTCCTTGGGGCCTTTGCACTTGCTGTTTTCTGCACCTGGCATACAGCTCCCGAAGCAGCTCTTCTGCCATCTCCCCTCCATTCTCAAGGGTCACCTTTGCAGAGAGCTGTCCCTGACTTCTGCATCCCACTTTGTCTGCTCTTCACCCGTGGTAACAACCACAGGAGTCTGCTGCGTCCTTCATGATAACTGCACATCTTTTAACTGACAGTCTTCTGGAAGAGGATATGAGTTCTTGAGCTAGAGATTGGTCCCCTTACCATCCCATAATCAGAATGTTTGGTGGTGCACCTGTTTGCTGATGAAGCGATGAGGAATCCTGGTGACTGATCCTATATGGAAACTGTAGCTCAACCTCCTCTTATAAATCAAGGAGATGAGCTGATGGGAGAAAGAGACTGAAAATCTCCACAGCCCTGCAACAAAACCAGACCTCAGCCCACAGCCCCCACCCATGCTTCTTCCCTGTTTCAATCTTACATCTTTTCAGGGCCTTGAGAAAAAAAAAATCTACATTCCATTTCTGCTGAAGCATGCCTACAGCTGCCTCATATTCACCACGTAGTTACTCGATGTTGAGGGTAATACTTTAAAGGAGGCAAGATCTTCAGGGTACAGTTGAAACAGGGAGTCGAGGAACTGCACACTCCACTTCACGGGGTGGGGGGGCAGCACTGGAGCTCAGTTCCTTGAGGCTTCACCCCTCCCTGCATCCTGCTAATCAGAGGCCTGGCACTGATATACTGCTGCCTGTAGTCATGGCAACAAGCAGCTGATTCCTAGCCTCTGATAACGGCCAGGGCTGAACTTTTACAAAACTCTTGAAGATGCCTGGGTCCCTAGCTGCTTGCTCGCTTCTCCATCAAAGCATCCAAGGACGGAGCAGAGTTTTCTGCGAACCCAACAAAGCACTCATTTGGCCTGAGGCTGAGAGCCAATCCTCATGACCCTAGCCCTAGGCAGAGTTAACATGATTTTAGAAACAAACAAACAAACAAACAAACAGACCACCAAGGCTTGAGCACAAGAGCTTCAGAGCCAATCTGCTTCCACAGAAAGGGGGAAAATTGAGGTCTTAAGACACGAGAGGGTTGCCCAAGCCTGTATCCTTCTGCATGTCAGGGCCAGGCATAGAGCGGTGGCCTTTGGTCTCCTTGGTCAGGCTCTTTCTGCATCCTTTGGTGATAACAACAGTTTGCATCTGTTAAGAATCTACTGCCAGACACCAGGATGAACACTTTTTTCTCATCCTTTAGCTCACCAGCTGGCGTGGCCAGTTCTACTGTGAGTGTGGAGAAATTGAGACCTGGAGGTGGAAATACCCACCCGGAATGTCGCTGTCACAGACTATTTATTTAAAAAAAAATCAACTGAGGAAGGGA